AATCTTACTGGCATTCTAATGAAAGAATGAAAAGTTTTGGACAGAAGTCGAAACGCGCTCCCCATCGAAGTTCGACAGGACGCCCTCAGGAAATCTAAACCGGTAACAAGATGGCTGCTCGGAAACGGAAACCGGAAGCTTGTCACTCAAGCTACACCGGCTTCCGGCGTGTCCCGAAAAAGGGAAGCGTTATGGAACGGTCGAGGAGAGAAATAAAAAGGAACGATGGGTGAAATAAGGGGGAGATCTGTCTCGAGTGTATTGTTTTATCACATTTCTCCTGAAAATGCTATTTCTAAGTATGAATATCTGAAAATTAAGATAGAAAATGAATGAAAAGAGAAATTGTTGGAAACTTCTTGTGTCTGCAGTCAGAGATAAAAATTGGGGTGAATATGTGCTATTTCGGATCTTGGAGTGTTCCAATTTTTGGATAGTTTAACTTTTTATTATTTTCATTTTCGAATATTCTAATCATCGACGATTTCAATTTTCGAATATCTTTATTTTCAAATGTTCTGACTTTTGCCTATTTCAATTTTCAAATTATTTAATTTTCAAATATTCTAATCCTCGATGATTGCAATTTTTCAATGTTTTAGTTTGCAAATATCCTAATTCTGGACTATTCCAATTTTTGAATATTAAAATTTCCAAATATTCTAAATCTCGACTATGCTAATTTTTAACTATTCTAATCTTCGACTTAATATACAGTTGCGCCCATTAATATCCGGCCACTCTTTAAAACAGTATAATTTTGCTTTGGTTAACGTTGCTATGAGCTACAAACAGTTAAAAATTGTGAAAGCCGCGGGTTTTCACGATTTTCGGCCTTTAACTGTAATAAATCTAAAGATTCTTACATCTTTCGATGCCTGCCGCTTGTTTCTGCATCATCTGATTTCGATGAAATTTCCAGCATGCATGTAATTGACCCAAATCTATAAAATATATGTTTTAAACTTTCACTACAAAGCCAGTTAAAAAAGTTGTAAAAAGTGACCTTTACAATTTTCTTCGTGATTAACAAATTGCAATTTTTTCAAAATTCTTCCAACTACTAAAAAAGAACTCAAGTCGTTTGGTCCAATTTAAAAAAAGTTATACTGTTCTAAAGAATCGCAGGGCATTAAGTAGGTATCTATAGATCGAATTTTCTTTCCCTTAATTAGCTTTAGTTATCAATTTAATTAAATGTTTTCCACTCAAAAGTCTACTCAAAATTACTGGAAGATTAAATAAAGTCATCTTACTAATCATCTACATTGTAACAGCGATCACGATTCGTTGCGATAAGGAGAATCGTTTCTTTATTTTACTACTCTTTCTACTTAAAGCATCATCGATAACAATTATCATTTTATTCAGGGTTTATTATTATCGTTTCGAATTTAGTGGACGAATGTTACTGCACTGGACAGCACAAATATCGATAATCATATTAACACATACATAGATCCACTCGAATAATTATAAATTATTTATCGTGAGATATCGTGTACATTATTTTGTGGAAAAAATCATGCGATATGACTGTAGTAATTAGAGTATGTAGTAGAAGTTATTTGATTGTATTCCATATATTTTATAACACTATAGTCAATAATGTCTATTTTGCATTATTAGATTTTTTTAGTGTTATACTATTAACAATGATTCTGATTTATTTGATGTAACTTCTTTTTAATTTTTAATTGTAAAGTATTATATCATAGAGTATTTATTTAAGTATTGTACTCTTAAGAGTATTTATTGTTATTCTATTAAAGATAATTATGACTTATTCTACGTAACTTTTTACAAATTTTAAATTACAAAGTATTCTATTATTACGAGTAGGTACCTATTTATTTACGTATTGTATTATTAAGAGTATTTACTGTTATTCTATTAAAGATAATTATGACTTATTCTACGTAACTTTTAAAAAATTTTAAATTATGAAGTATTGTATCATTAAGATTTATTTATTTGAGTAAGGGAAAGGAAGAAATACTGTTTGTTCTCTTAAGATTCGATTTTATTAAATATGTATCTGATATATTAGACTACTATGTATTATACACAATGTACATATATACAACCTATCGATGTAATTACATGCTACTTAATTAAAGGCGATAAACTGGGATCTCTGTCGCGCCTCTTCTATACAATTACGCTATAATACCTGCTTTCTTCCATTTTATGAAACAATTTAAAACGAAACAATCGAGAATCTTCATAGTACAATAGCATTGAAAAAGAACATTTTATTTCACTTGAAACTTATGCAACTGGCCTCTGTCTATCTTACAATGAACATTTAAGTGACGTTCTATTACTATTTGACATCATTTGTCTGATCACATTATTCGAATTTCTGCTACGAGTCTAATCATCTTCTATTAAAAGAATCATTTTTATTGAATTCAATAGTGAACAGATTCTCTAATAGTTATATTTCAGATGACACTGGCTAAGAAATTTTATGACTTTTTTTCTGTTAAAAATGGTACATTATTGTATAATTTCGAAGATTATCTTCTAAATGAAGTTATTGTTCTTCGCCTTGTTTTATCTCGTTATCGCGATTAAATTCACGAAAAGTGGAGTGTTCGAGTTACATAAGCGACCAGTGATCTTTACGATTTTACGGTCTCTCTTTTTGAGAAATATTTGTTGATAATTGTTTCGTGTATTTCTTTCGTAGAAAGAAAATGTTGAATTTCCTTCAGGATTGTTAAGTACGAACGTGAGGGACACTTTGCTCGAAACACACACACACACACACACACACACGCTACACGAACTAACGACACTTTGTACAAAATGAAGAAAGAAAAGGAACAGTGAATTTATCTAACGATCGATCCTGCATACTTTGTCCACTTATCTATTTATTTTGCGCTAGATCACTTTCTTGTTACGATATATCGGGTGATTCGCATAAAATATTATAATTCAATTGCATAAAATTCTTTTTCAATATTCTAGGATTCATTTTTAAATAATATTTTCGATTATTTCGTTCTACCATGTTTGAGATCTTCAATTAATCCTAATAAAATATTGAGACTTCACGGATTCCTAAAATATTAAAAAATGGATTCCTAACACTTCCCAAAATATTTATAATATTTTACGTAGATCGCCCTGTATGCATGCAGAGCGTAAAAGAAACACAGGCCTTTGGTTCGAGAATTAATAAAATCTATCGAAAGAGAATTGAAAGTTTTTTACTTTGATAAATCACACGAATTATTTATTTCTTTGTCACAATATTTCCAAGCTGAAAAATATTAACATCAAAAGAAAATTAGAAGGTTTCTAATACAATAACAATTTCAGTAACATTCCACTTTTTAAATTTATCATTCGAAAAGTTTTCAATTTTTAATTTTTAATTTAGAATTTTTCATTTCTCCGATGAACCGCACGTGTCATTTATCCAATATTTCGAAGCTGGGAAATTTTGATAATCAATTTCTTTCAACAAATTCCATCAATTCTCAAGTTACCTTTTATCCACACTGCAAACCATAATTGCGATCACGAGCTATCTTTGGTTTCTTTGATTTTCCAAAATCCAAAACACGATCCGGGGAGACACGACGTGGCTCGATCAGTTCACTCGAGTGACACTTTCTTCGCGCGAAAGCTTCACAGAATTTCAATTTACGCGTCGCGTCTCAACGCTGTCTTTCACTTTCGATTAAAATACGAACTGGCAGTACTTCGTTTACTCTAACAACAAGAACGCGAGGATTGTTAGCTGTGTCGAGCCGTCACAGGCAACTCTCTCATCGTTACTGGTAACGATATCTACGCTAATAATACATTTGATCCTTAGTGCTCATACTATATACGAACAGTTGGATGAATCCTCTTTTTGCACTAAACTTCACTTTACAGTTCCAAAACGATTTGCTTCTGAAGGTTACTTTGTAGATGTGTGTTCTTTCGTCAATCTGCACTGATCCATTCCATTTTTGATATTTTCGATAAATTTTTCGAAAATTTGTTGCTTTTGAATTCTTAGATTGATCGTCAGTTATATTCTTTTTTTAGGAGAATCAATTCACTCTGCTCACAAAGTGTCTGTTGATGTGTTTCTTCTTTTTAAAGTAAAATTTGATCACTGTCTTCTTCTACTGCAGTTTCTTGACTAACTTGTTCGTGAAGTACGTTTTTTCTCGATTTTATTTTAGGAAGATCGATTCTTTATCATTCATAATGATCGTCATTGCCATTACTTCCAAACACTGTGTATCACACACGAACATTCTTTTCCTTTTACGTTGGATAAATTCATGTTAATTGTTCGCTTTTTCTCTTCTCCGTTTCAGTAACCTTCGCGAACTCTCTTGATCACTATAGTCGTCGTTTGTTTAATTTAACGTAACTTTCTGTAAGATCGTGTAATATGAAATGTCAGACTTTCAAGGGAGCAGTGTAAATCACTTTTTTAAATTCAAATATTAACCCTCTATAACATCATGTAACTTGGATATTACGTATCCATTTATGTATATTTTATGTCTCTACTATTGCTACACTATCAGCCAAAATCTTGCTCCTTCCATGAAAATGTAAAATTCCTACCAACCACAATTTTCCTTCTAACGAAAAAAAATCGCGTTATAGAGGGTTCGGTTAACACGAAAAATTCAGAATTCTTCAACACTTAACTAATCACTTGAGCTATCAATTCACGAATTATTAGACATCCAACATTTCATATTACACGACTTAACGAACACTCTCTATAGTCCATGATCCACGAACAACATCATTCACAAACGCCCATCCAATCTTCTTTGAACTAGACAACCGTCGAATCACCCACGAAAGAAATAATCGTTCACTGAATCCTCTATCCGAAGAGTCCAATTCTCTAAATGTTCGTCGAAAACTGTTTCTCAATCGTCGACTGTTTCGTACACTAAAATCTCACTAGATCTTCAGCAGTTCCACCTTCAACCCAGAGCATGTTTCACGATTCAACCTCCTCCTCTTTACCACCAATACGGTTTCTGCATGTAAGGTGGCATAGGAACTTGACCAGTGCTCGGATAAGTAGACGGTTCCATCAGTTTCGACTGACACGGCTTTCCATCCTTGATCAATAATGGTACGGCGACTCTTCTTGGCGAACATCCACTTCCACCAGCCTCAACCCTTTCTGTAGCTGCCCTTTTCGTCTTATACCTGTGATTCTGGAACCAGATTTTCACCTGTGTGGGCGTTAGTCGAATAATCGAGGCTAGATGCTCCCTTTCTGGTGCACTCAGGTATCTTTGTTGACGAAAACGTCTCTCGAGTTCGAAAGTTTGTGCTTTGGAGAACAACACTCGTCTCTTTCGCTTCTTGTGCTCCGTTTCGTGCGGTTGAGTCTCGTTCGATTGTTGCTCGTCTTCGAAATCCGCCGATTCTTCCTCCTTGCACTCATGGTTCGTCTCTTGTTTCGGTGGAAACGAGAGGTCTGAGATCGTTGGACTAGTTGAGTCTGGTTGCTGCAGCACTGTAATGGCAAGGATTATTGTGTTACTTTTCACGGTTGAATATGGTTTTTTCTTCGTGATGAATTGTGAGCTGGAAGTAATTAGTCCATCCTGTAACTTCTCGCGATTTGAAGCCGTTCATTTTGAAAAACCGTAACTTCGCTTACGTTTAAGCGATAAGAATGTTAAGAATATTACAAAAGCATTAAACATTTTTATTTAAAATAATTTCCATAATGTTCGATACACTTTTGCCAACGTATTACAAGAGCATTAATTTCGTGTACATACAAAGACGCTAATGAATCTCCCCCATCCAAACCTCCCAAAAAAAAATCATGCTCACAGTTTGATAGTCTACTTCGGGATTATTTCACTATAATTTCCTAAAACCGGGTATCACTATCACCACAGACTCATGCAGTAACGAATTGGAGGTCGTTCACCAAAAACTGAAGGTTCAACAACCAGCTCTGGTCAACAGAAGAGGCTCTATCCTTTTGCATGACAACGCCAGACCTCACAGAGCAAGCACAACTGTAGAAAAATTGCATCAACTGAGTGTTGAAGTTCTACATTATCCTCCATATTCTCACCACTCACTTGACACTTTCCTTACACAAAAACGATTTGAGAAACAGGAGGATATTGAAAACGCCTTTCGGCAGTTTCTTTCTCTTACAGATTCGTATTTTGATGTACACAGAATGAATGCTCTTGTAATACGTTGGCAAAAGAGTATCGAACATTATGGAAATTATTTTAAATGAAAATGTTTAATTTCATTGGAGTTATGTTTTACCAAAATGAACGGCTTCGAGCCGCGGGAACTTTTAGGGTGACCTAATAGTTGCAAGTCGATTATGAAAGTGATCTAGATGAAAAATTAGATATAATTCAATTTAACATTTATCTTCTGTTGCATCGATTTACGTTATATTATTGTAGACTATTTTTGCAAAATAAGCGAGAATTAAACTATTAAATGAGGTTAGTTGGCAAAATATCTGAAAAGATAATCAAAATGTCTAAATACTTCAAGTGAGTGGAAAAAATTGAAGAGAAGGAAGAGTGTATGTGTATGATAATTAGAAAGGGAAATGTTGGAAAAATTAAGCAGCATTTAGTTATGTATAAATTTAGATAGAAAATTCAGGAATTTATATTGTTTTTAGAAATGTTCGTTTAACCCTTTAGTTAAGACTTCAATTAATTCTAATTATTTCTTGATTTTATTATCAATTAGATACTGAAAATTAATTAAAAATCAGAGAAGTATTGTGCAGCAAAATTGTGCGATACTGGAAACGCGACAGAATTGAATTAAATCGAAATATAGAAATTGCATTCAACCCTTTGGTTAAGATTTCAATCAATTTTAATTAGTTCTTCCAAAGAAGGAGAAGCATTATTATCGCAGTACTGACAGGCACAAATTTTATTTTCTATATTCATTTTGTACATACTGTGCAACATTTCAAGTTTAGTCCAAAGTTATGCCAGTTTCGTAAGAAACGTATCATTGATCCACGTTGAACGAAAGCACAGTGTTGAAAAGTGAATAATAAATTGTTAAAAAATTAATAGAGATCAGTTGTGTAGATATAGATACGTAATATTGAAAATTCTTGTAACCATTGTTCTTGGTACCTCGTTAAGTCTGTTTCACCAGTTTCCGAGAATCGATAAACGTCATTTTGAAAAGCTATCAGGGTCATCACGAAAATGGCTATATAGAGTGAACTACAGCTGCATTTTTTACTACCCTTCGACTCCTACCGTTGATTGCAGGCAGATGCATGGCTGTATTGATTTCTTAAGTCTCGTTAACGAGTGCTTGCTCATCGTTCAGACGATACACTAAAGAATGAACTAATCATCAGAAACAGAAAGAATACTACTGTAATACAAATAACCTAGACAATTCAAAAGACTACGCAATTTTGCAATTTATACTATTAAACTAACGCCGTACAAACTTGTCAAAAATTTTGAAAGCAAACTTTCCGTCAGCTTCTGCATTACATATTAGATAATCCAACAAGTTCCTGTCGCGATATGTTTATCCTTTTCGCGAAGTATTTTGTGTTTCGAGTTAATTTCGAGACATGAAACGATTAATTCAGACGTGTAAGATAAGAGAAGCTATAGCAGTGAAACATTCAGGACTCTTAAATCAGAACGAAGTGATTTTTCACTACGATAATGTCAAACCGCATGTGAAATAAAACGTGCAAAAGAATTATGTGAATTCGGTTGGGAAATTTAATCTCACCCGCCGTATTCTCTGGTCGTTGTTCTATCAGATTCTCATCTGTTTCGTGTATTACAACATTTTTTAATAGGCAAAAAATTTGACAATATCGACTCTATAAAAAGTAACATTGAAAAATATTTTATGGAAAAACCGAAGAAATTTTATAGCGACGGCATAATGGCATTGTCAAAACGATGGGAAGATGTAAAACAGGCGAACGACTGCATTGTTTCGTAGCATTTAAAGGTGTGTTTGAAATATTGGCCTAAATGGCGCATCAATAAACGGCACAAACTTATTGGATGACCTAATACTACTAACTCTATTTTCGTAAATGAATTATGATGGACAAAGGGTTACAATACTTCAAATATTCGACTTTAATAATAAGTTAAGAAATTAGTTTTCTGTTCATTTTAATCGTCACCCAATATTATACCGACATTCTACAGGGTGCTTTAAAAAAATGTTAAGACTTATGTGGAAGTAATTTTTTTTAGAGAAACCAAATATTTTGTCTTTAACGAATTCTTGGAATCTTCTTCTCTTTTACAAAAAAAAAAAGAAAACAAACAAATGGAAAGAAAATATATAGGTTGTACCTATATGTACAAGAAGTGATAATTATGTACCTATACTACAAGCTAACTAAAAAAAGGTACAGAATTATTGTATAATAAAATTCTGTGATACTGAAAACACGATAGAATTAGATTAAATCAAAATATAGGAATTGCAGAGCTGACGATTCAGTGCGTTCTACGTTTAATCCACCAATATTTTGATTAGCCTTCAGCTAAAGTGGCAAATACCACGGTGGCCGGGAGACACGCTAATTTAATGTACAACGACGAGGTCCCTGGCTTCGTGAGCATACAATACGCTTTTGTGAACGACTCGTAAGCCTGCTTGGGGAGGGTGTGAAGCAATATAGAGCCTGCTTGATAGCCCCTTGCACCCCATGGGACTGACTGTATCATTTTCATGGGAGATTAGGCTGTAGTCGCAGTCGTGTCGTGATTTCAATTAGACATTTCGTCTTTGGAAGAAATGATCTTCTAAATTAGGCTCTTGTTCGATGATATTCTCATCAAGTTTGAAACTTTTCGCTGTATTTCGGTCAATGATTTCACAAGATTGATCTGTTTCTTTTTTTTGTCGAGCTATTTTATTGGAAAAATAGAGGAATATTTAAAAGTAGAGTAACTAGAGTTTCCTGTCTTTCGCTATAATTTAGGAAAATTATTTGATACGTTGCAATGTACGCTGCAGCTCAAAGGTTTAGAGCACCCTTCGTTATTTGGACAAAACAAGCTTTCTCATATGTATGAAAGTATTTAGTAACGTTATCAGAAATATCGCATCTATATGTATGTATATTAAAGTAAGATTGGAATTTGAATTATACCTAGTCAGAATTGGGCAAGATCATAAAAATATTCCCAATATCTGAAATCGATTTATGGAAATACTGAAAAATTAAATATTGGAAAAATATAAATAATGGAAATATTGAAAGAATTGAAAGATTAATTGCCAGAATAATGACATTATGTTAATTATGAAAATGAAGGATCCTTTTGCAAAAAAACACTTTCATAAATTTCTATAATTTTTCTAAAAAATAAATACACTACAATTATAATGTTTACAATACAGTTTCATTACTATAGTAAAATAATATTTTTAATAAAATACGTATTTACTAAAAAGTAACTTTATTTATTTTAAAACCATAACGTACTCAAAACTTCGAGCGATAGAGCATGTACAGTAGCAAAGTATATTGCACAGAAATATTTTACACATTTTTATACATTTTATAAAGTTCAACTCTCTAGCACGTAAACAGCGAAAGTTTCAACTTTCACAAAAATTTCCCCAACCATTCATTCGCCATAAGTCACCGTAAGAACGTTGAAATTTCGACCGAATTCTCTACCTGCCCGATAGAACCGCGATCTAACGCATCTATTACCCGTGTAAAGGGGTGAGATCGTCGAATCCCTGATTTCTCGGTTCCACGATACATGGAAAGAGAAAAAATAGAGGGGAAAAGTGGAACGAAGAGGAGATAAGGAGAAGAGGTGAAAAGAGGCAATAGGCCACCGGTGGATTTTTTGGGCGTGACAATTTCGATTCATCGAGGACCTACAGGGCGACACGCATCTGTCCTCGAAGGGACATCTGTCCTCCTATACGGGCCAATCGGTGCACAGGACCCACAAGGACCTTTTATAGGACCATTAGATCCTGCTTAGCCGACGTGGACCAATTGTAGGGTGTTAAATAAATAAGGGTTTCGCCCTGGACCCCCTCTTTCTATTTTATCTGCATGGTTCTTGTGGATCACGTGCTTCTAGCGAATTAAGTGGAAATTTTTGGATGGAGAAAGATCGTGTTTCCTTGTGAAAGTATCTACTACTTAAATAGAAAGATGTATTAGGTCGTTCGTAATGTTCTGTCGGATCCCGTCGGCTGAATTTAAATAATCATAACTCCGCCGAAAGTTAACATATTTATTTAAAATAAGAGCTATTACAGTAGATACACCTTTGCCAACGTTTCACTAATTTATTTATGCCATCTACAAAACATAGGTAAGAGAAAAAATGGATAAGTGGGCTCCGCACGATCTGTCCGATATTCAGCGAATGTTTCGTGCCTCCAGTTGCTCTTCCCATATCCTGCGGAACATTAAAGACCCCTTTCTTGACAGAATTGTTACCTGTGATGAAAAGTGGATACTTTATGGTAATTGGAAAAGATCTGGAGTGTGGTTGGATCTTAACGAACCACCTAGACACTTTCCAAAACCTAAAGCACATCCAAATATGGGTGAATTATTCGCCATATTTTTTTGAAGTAGAGAGAAACGATTATGGCAAATAATACTGTAACGAACTTAGCGGAATGCATTAAAAACTGTCACTTATCCGTCCAGCACTAGTCAACAGAAAGGGTTCGATTCTTTTACATGATAACGCCCGACCGCACGTTTCATTAATTACAGTGCAAAAGTTAAACGACTTGGAATATGAGACTTTACAACATCCACCCTATTCTCCGGATTTTTCGCCAACAGATTATCATCTGTTCAAACATTTTAACCATTTTATCAAGAAGAAAGCATAAATGAATTAGTGAAATGTTGGCTAGGTGTATCGATTGTAATGGTCCTTATTTTAAACAAATATGTTACTTTTGGAGGAGTTATACCTAATTATTTGAATTCCTACTTGAAGTCTTACTTAACTCTTTTATGATGATTTTTGAGTTTGTGTATTATGTGAATTAAAAAGGACACGCAATTGGGTTAGGTTAGGTTATGAAAATTTGAGTTTCGTGCAGGGTGTTTAAAAAAAATGTTAACACTTATGCGGAGGTAACTCTTTTAGAGAAACGGAAATGATAACATAATATATAAAATTAACAAAGAAAAGAAATGTTTTAGCTTTTGAAGAACATTTTTTTCAAAAAACAGGAAATCCTTTAGTTTCAGAACAACATTTTTTTCTTTTGAAAAGAGGAAATATTTTAGCTTTCGAAGGATATTTTTTTCAAGAAAAGAGGAAATCTTTTAGCTCTTGAAGAACATTTTGTTCGGAAAAGAGATCTTTTAACTTTTGATGAATATCATTTTGTTACTCACCATTCACTTCTTCCAGAGGTTGGGGTAACGTGGTTGGTAGCGTTGGACCCGTCGGCCATCCCAGTAACCCAGGTGGCGGCGGTGGTAGGGTTCCTCTGTTGAGGTTCGCGTATATCGCGGGCTGCAGCATGGCCGTCGTGTGCTCGAAGAACTGTTGGTACGCCGACGGAACATCGTTCGTGGTCGGTAGCACCGTGGTACTACCTGCAACGAGAATTTCCAACATCCAAACCTTTAATATCGATTCAACAAACATTTTTTTAAATTTACTTATGCAGTTAAAACTTAAAACCAGTCCCAAATTAAAAAGGCATTAATTTGTACCATTTACACGTTTATCAATATTTTCATATCTGCACGAAATGTATCTTTAAAATTGTATTTTGCGTTTGCGGTCAGTTTTATGTGCATCACCCAGTATAATGCCTACTAACTGAAATCTGAGTGAAGTAGCTAATCACGATTGGATTAATTTAAATAAATTTTGCAATATTATAATGATTGACAGCAAATAATTTCATTAAAAATTGTTAACACGTACAAAATCAATTTTAATGAAAAGATAACCTAATCAAGCCTCGCGAGATATCAAAAACAATTTTCCTTACCTTGGACCTCTGTTTCTTCCTGAGACGGCTTAGAGTCGAGCTGCAGAATGTCATGGATGTGGAAGCTTGTCCTGGGCATCTTGATGCTCTCCAATATCCTGCAACAATCAAATCGACAAAACAAAAAATCATTAAAAACCATCCATTGAAAGAATCTCAGCCGACAGGGTGACACTAAACGAGCATCTACCTACTTAAACATATCCTTCGTCTATACGTGCATAAAAAAATTCTTTCATCTAACCAACATCAACCCGAGTAACAATTCCACAAATTGAAAAAGAACTCTTCAAATAATAAAAAAAGAAATCGCTCTTTTTAATCGATCCATTTATCAGAGTAGACATAACGGGCTAAATTCCAGAGTTTTGGGTCCAGTTTACCCGAAAGGATTTCGCGAGTCGAAAAGTCGCGCACAAAGGTCGGTTTTCAACGGAATCAATCCAATTTCCGTCGTTTTCCTGCGGCACGGCGAGCGTCAAGAAGCCAGCAGGACGCTTAAGACCCGATTAGACGCGTCTTGTACCGTCAAAAGCCTGGCTACCTGCAGCTACGCTGCCAAACAACCTGTCCTCAGGTACAGAAGCGAATTTCCGGCCTCAAATTTTAAGCCAAACGACCCATTATCGCGGCACGTTCGGCCACGTTCCCGATGAAAGAGCCGCTGAAGGAAAGTTTTTCCTTAATCGACGCCTGGTGGCCGCACTGTTTCTTAATATTGCACCTCAGGTGGTAGAAATCGTGGCTGGTGGACAGGGTGTTTCGGAATTATGGCTGTTGGGAAGGTCGAGTGGCTTGTATAGGGTGTTCCAAAGAAATGTTAACACTTATATGGAGAATTTATGCGTGTAGAAAATGTGGAATTGTTAATTGGTGTATTGTGAGGTTATATTTAGCATGCTAAGAATTAAATATACAGGGTGTCCCAGTTTTTTCCGATCAAACTTTGTCGTATCTTCTACGGGTATAAGTAAGAGAAAAATGTTACATAAACATAGGTCATTTGAAGTTGCGTTAGAAAGTTATAGCAAAAATACGAAGTACGAAGGGAATGGTAACGGTTGTGCGGTTACTATGATACAAGACAAGGATGGTACTGGCAGAAGTTACATTCAACACCTTCAATGACGTCAGATCGTAAACACAGCTCGCATAAATAGACTAAATGTACATATCGCTGATCTATTCCTGTTTTGTATCATAGTAACTGCACATCCGTTACTATTTTTTTTGTATTTCGTCTTTTTGTTAAAATTTTTTAACGAAGCTTCAAACGATCTATGTTTATATAAAATTTTTTTCTCTGTTATACCTGTAGAACGTGCTGACAAAGTTTGATCGGAAAAAACTGGGACACCCTGTATATGTAATATGAAACATTCTTAGATTTTCTTTAAAATGAGGAATTGTTAGGTCAAATTTTCTGTGAGAAAAATATTGTGTTTGAAAATTGATATTTTCTGTGATAAATATGTTCAGAGTAATCTGGGTGGATGACTGTTTTATTATTATAGAAGAATGTTAACTCTTATCTGGAGAATTTGTGCATTATGGAAGAGCACCATAATTCTTTCTTACAAGATTTTCTACGATATTTTCTTTCCTTTTCTTTAATAAATGTGTTGACAATAATACATTTATTAATATAATGCAGGGTGTGAAAAAGAATTTTTTATCAGTTTCTTTGCAAAAGAATTGTGTTGACAATAATGGTGAACATGTGAAGACTCTTTGAAGACAAAATACATTTGTCAGTATGATATAATATGCACAAAAGGATTTATCAGTTTTATTTTTTTGAGAAAGTTACTTCCATGTAAGTGTTCACGTTTTTCTGAAACATCCTGGATTGATAGACAAAAAGGAACGAAAGTATTGACAAAAAGTATGATTTATAATTGATGTTAAGAAGCGTGGAGTTTTTAATTAGTGTGCTGTAAGATTATCTATATTTAGTGTGCCAAGAATCATATGTGGTACATATATGTGATATGAAATATTATATATTTTCTTTTAAATGAGGAATTATTAAGTCGAATTGTTTATGAGAAAAATGTTGTGCTAAAAAATTGACATATTCGGTGAGAAATATATTTAGAGCAATATGGATGAAAAAATGTTTTATTGTTCTGTTTCACTAAGTTGTTATCCACATTTTTTTAATTTTATAAATTTTTCTTTATATATTGTGTCAACGCACAGAGGTATTACACTTGTATTATATAATAATACATGTATTGCATAAATGTGTTTCACTTTACATTGCCATATTTGTGATCACTGTCTACGCTTTAAATATTCTCCGCTCTGTATTGTCATTCATTTAATTACTCTGGTATCTTTGTTTCATTGTACTGGTTATAATAATTGAGTGCGTGGCATAAGAATTCTATGGTGTTACAAAGCGGTTATTAAAGCTCTATTCTACGTGCAAGGAACATTGCTGCTGCAAAACTGGAAAATCTTCGAAGAAATTCACGCTTCTACACAGCATAGGACTATCCTAATCCTGTTCTCTTCTTGACCAAACTTAAAATTAACCAAAGAAAGTCGCTTTTTCTTTCCAGTAAACAAACTTTTCCCCAAGTTTTCGCAAACACAACTATAAAATCGCAGAACTAATGAAAGAAGTTGGCGAAAATTTCAGCTTAATTCACGTCTAGGAAGAGAAAAGCTGATAGAAAGTTTCAACGAAAAGTTCGTTAAAGAAGAACATAATTAACGCTACTTTTCACGCCTAACGCTCTTCATCCCCTGGTAATTAATTTTCTAGAGCTGCAGCGTTGAAATCACCAGTGATTCCAACATCTAATTAAACATTCTTTTATCGTTCCAATTCTACTTTCCCTCTTTTTACTAAAATTTCTGTTCTCTTTTTATAATATATTCCTCTCTTTGTTCGGTTAGCATGCAAGACTTAATCGAAATAGCACGAGCTCCCGATTTTATTCAAGGATATCAATAATCGAGCGAATGGTCACTTCGATAAGCCCCGATACACGTCAATGAAGCCACGTGCAAGAATTCGAGGGCCATCAAGATCTCTGCTCCATTATGAGACAGCAATATTGCCGATAAAATTATCGAGGAACTCCCTAGCGACTTTCTCGTCCCGTTCCCCTCCTACCTCTGACCATTTTTGAATCCATTTTCTTGAAGAAAAGAAAACTATCAAAAGAGCTATCTAAGATACCACTGATCTTATTTATAGAATTTAATCTTTCTGAAAATTCTCATCAATTGCGATGAGATCAAGAGATAAGGAGCGTATATTGAGAAGAAACGACCACTTTTCAATTAATCAATTTTTATCATCTTTCAAAATTCCACTTGCACGATAATTTACGCCCTTCAGAGCGTCAACTGAAACTTCAATTTCACAAGCACTGTCTTCTACAATTCGTACAACTAAACTCTCTCAAACAAAAATTCACGTCGAGAAATCAAATTCTACCACGTTCTACCACGAGAAACAAACGAAACAAACCAATAAACTCTACAACTCTGGAACTCTCGATTACTTGTCTAATTAAATGTCGATTCTCTTCTCTCTGTTCATTCGAAATTCAACATTCCATTCAAATTTCGTCCTCGAGAGGGTCGAACAGAAACGCATGCGAGAAACTATTGCATAAAACACCTTCCTACAAAATAACGAGAGAAACTCTACTTTTGGGGGATAGTGTCGGCACGACAAAAAAGCTTGGTACACGTGGTATTCGCTTTTTTTTTTTTAATTTTTCGTTGTTGTTCTTTGATAATTCGTTTACCTATTATTGAAAGCGAGCTGGCTGTACCAGACGTGATTCAAGAGACTGGTCGGATATGATAGCAGCGACCAGGGCAGAAACTTATTCTTGTCCGCCATTTTGAAAGGGTCTCGAGGAGGTGTTAGTAGTGGCGTCAGTACATGTTAACGTCCTCGTGGTTCACGCCACACTCGTTCTCGCGCCAACGTCTCCCTTTTTTCTATTACTCTCTTAAACCCCTTGCTTTCTGTCTTTTCTATTTTTTTTTTTTGCTTTTTGTTTTTTGTAAATTCTCCTTGTTAGATATCTCTCGTACCTTCAGCTTTACTATCACTCGTCCACTTTTCGTCCCCTCTCTACTCCGCCTTCTTAAAACACAAATCACTCAGTTCGATCTGTTCAACGTTCACTTGCACACCTGATCATCCTCTCCGAATCAAAGACAGTCCTTTCCGGTTTAGTTTTCATTATTATATCACACGCGAATTTCGTACGAATTTTCGATGAACCAAACACCACTGTTTTTGTTTTTATGTTAGAACTGAGACTACCGTACGGGTCCTTGATGAACGAAGAAAATAAAGAGAAACTTTGGATTCACAGTTTTCGAATAGAATTGTAGTGACGAGAGAAAAGGTAGTAAACGCGTAGTCTGATGTTTCTTCCAGCTAGGCTGAAGGGCTCTCCTTGTACTTTTTGAGTGTTCTCGACGAACACTTGACGGCTAGTGTTCCCTACCTTCGCGCCGTTTCGCTCGTCAAGCACCCTCGAAGCCGAGGGCGGATCTTCGCCAGGGGCGGAGATTCTGGGCTCACCCCTGCCACACGACAGTCCACCCCTCTCTTTGAATTAGCCCGCTGGATATCCAGCAGCCGTTCCAGACCGTTCCTTCGAGCGGATGGAAATCAATCTACTGAGGAAGATTGTAACTGTTCGACGTCGTATGGGATTAAGAAAGAGATGAAAGAAACGTTTTCTTTTTAGTTTGCCAGGTTTTGTTTTGAGAAGATTATAGAGTTCAAAAGAGAATTGTTAATTGAAGCTTTCATGTTTCAACTTCTAATTTCCAACGTTTCGATTTACGAGCGTTTTTTGAAGACTGGAGTTTCGATTAATAATTTAACCCCTTAACGCTCACGCCCGCGTCCGAAAAGTGCAATTTTCTTTAATTATTTTCTTTCACTTTACATATTGCGCTATCATTTCTATTCTATGGCAAAAATGTAAGTTAGAGCATTATGAATAAATGGGAAACTTCTTTCTACACGGCTAGGAAATAATTAAAAAAAAAATGAAATAGATCATTTTTAGCATATTTAGTTGAGAAAAAGGAGGGGGATAAGCGTTAG